TTTTAACAACAAAATATTGAATTTGAAACAACAATATTAGCACACATCCATATGTAAGCCTTCAGTTCTTAAATTATAAATGTATCCATTTTAGAAAGTGCAGTTTTAAAAGGTGTCTGTCTGTCAGCCGAATTGAACAATTATTATTAAGACTAGATATAGACTGAGAAGATAATAGATTGATCTATAGCCAAGACTATGAACCGTAGTTATGATAGACTAGGATATAACAAAGAATGATATATAGTTAAGACTATAGACTGATATATAGTCAAGACTATAAAATAATCTACAGTCAACTCTACAGACTCTACTAACTAATCTATAGTGAATTAACTAATCTACAGTCAACGAGACTATGAACAAAATTATAGTAAAGACTTTATACTTATCTATAATCAACACTATAGACTGAACAATAGTCAAGGCTATAAACCTATCAATAGTCAATACTATAGACTGATCTGTATTCAAGACTATGAACTGATCTTTGATTAATTTTCCTAATCTTCGATGAAGTTTTTTATAGAAAACTGATCTTCAATGAAGTTTTCTATAGAAAACTGATCTTAGATGATGTTTTCTATAGAAAACTGATCTTAGATGATGTTTTCTATAGAAAACTGATCTTCGATGAAGTTTTGTATAGAAAACTGATCTTTGATAAAGTTTTCTATAGAAAACTGATCTTCAATGAAGTTTTCTATGTAAATTTTCTAAAAAAAACTAATATTTGGTGAAAACAGATCTTCGATGAAGTGATCTATAGAAGACTGATCTTCGATGAAGTGATCTATAGAAGACTGATCTTCAATGAAGTTTTCTATAGAAAACTGATCTGCGATGAAGTGATCTATAGAAAATTGATCTCTGGTAAAATTTTTTAACAGCTAATCTTTCAATACAAAGCTGATCTAAACTGATTTATGAATAATTCTTAGATATCTGATCTTGTATAAAGTTTTCTGTAGAAAATGATCTTCGATGAAAGTTTTATATAGAAAACTGATCTTCGATAAAGTTTTCTATAGGAAACCGATCTTCAATGAAGTTTTCCAAAGAAAACTATCTTCGATAAAGTGTTCTAAAGAAAACTGATCATTCATTATGTTTTCTAATAAATCTGATCTTCGATAAAGTTTTCTACTTCAGTTTTTATTGAAAAATGTTAGATCTTCCATGAAGTTTGCTACTTCTTTATTGCAGATGAGATTTTTTATAGAAAATAATGTAATGTAAATCATGGATATAGTGACTAGTTCAATCAGAAGTCACCAGAATTGTTGGGTTGTTTATTTATACTCAAACATGGATTCGAAACGACATACAAATGGTAAATTTTAAAGGAAAACATTTTTAATGGAAAAAAATGAACGCATCATTTAAATGAAAACAACAGAAATAACTACAACAATAACAAAAACGTAGAAAAATCAAAATATTTTCCCCACAAGAAATTTAAGAAAATTAAGGGCAATTAAAACCAAAAAAAGAAAATATTAATATTGGAGGGCAAAGACAAAAACAAAAAAAAAAAACAATGGGGAAACAAATCACACTGAAACACTCACACAAACATTTACACACAAAATTCTCATAAAAATTGAGTATGATCAATAAAATACATATTTTCTAATTTAGCAAAATTTTATGTTAATTTTTTTTTTGTTTATACTAATTTATAAGTAAAAAAATAAATTGTTTTCTTTAAACATTTTTGAAGTCACTATAATAAATATTTCAAAGTAAATTATTAATTTGAAATTTTCTCAATTTTAAACGAAAACGTTCTCTCTCCATAATTTTTTCAAAATTTTTATAACGATTTTAATGCAGCAGAGCAAATGATTTTACACGTAGAAAAAAAAACACTTTCACTGTTTATTTTTTGCCAATTTTGTTTTCATTTAGATTTGTTGTTGTTTTTATTTTTTGTATTTTCTCAAATATATTTTTGTGTGTATCATTATTTTCAGATTTTCTTTTTTAAAGAAGAAGAAAAATCTTAAATGAGTTTTACGAAAATTTTTAAGAGGTTTTTCCAACAACGTATACACATTTTTTTATGACCACTTTTTTACTTTTAGAATGAAAAAAAGCAAGAAAAAATATACGAACTTCTTTCTGTGTAAAATTCTTTTCTTTAAAATTTTATATAATTTATTTATTGATTGATTATTTTTGCAAAACAAAACATATGCTTAGATATTTTTAACACAATTTCTTTTTTTCTTTTTCCAATACCATTTATATAGAAAACTTCTCGAAATTTTATATATTCCAAGTTAAATTTTCATAATATTTTTCAAATTTTCTGTATAATTTGTAAAACACCGCCATATATGTACAGATATTTTAGAATTATTCTTTAATTTTTCAAAAAAAAATGTCTTCAATACAATCAATCCGCTCGTTCGCTCGCTGCTGCCTTTAGACAAATTTTAAAACTTTATGAGGAACAAAAGTTTTGAAAATACACGTCCGCCACGTTAAACGTTCAATACAATTCTATTTGAGTTTCTAGTTTTCGTTAAAATTTACTCGAAATTTGTTTTTTTTTTTTTTTAAATTAAAAGTCCTCTACTAAATTATAAAAGCTCTCTGTTGCTCTCGTCAAGATTTTTATAAATATCTCTGCGTTAATTTCGAATCTTTATGTTTTGAATGTTCCACTTTCAAAACGAAGGCGACGACGACTCATTTCTTTTATTTTACAAATGTGTTGTTATCATTTTGAAATGATAACATGCTACACACATACCTATAGACATATTTTAAATATTTTGTGTTTTATATTTTTTTTACAAAATGCACTTTGTGCACATATTTTCCAAAATAAAATGAAACGAAATTTAAATTAAGGTGTTGAGAGAATTTTGAAAAAAAATTTCTTTATTTTACATACTGCTATAGAACATTAGGGTGGTGTTTTGGTAAGATGCATTTTATTTTAATTTATAAATTTGTGTGGAGTATTTTATGGAAACGATAATTAACGGCTCTGAAATTTGAACTTTTACACAAACAAAAAAATTTTGGGCCTAAATGGTTACGATATGAGTAAAATCTCCCAAAAATACATAGAAAAGCGATCTTCTATAAAGTTTTGTATAGAAAACTGATCATCGGTAAAGTTTTCTATAGGAAGCTAAACTTTGGTTTAGTTTTCTGTTGATAACTGGTCTTCGACTAAGTTATCTAAAGACAATTATTAATCGATAAAGATCAGTAAATAAATGATCTTCTACAAATTTTATATAGCAATCTAATGTTTGGTTAAGTTATCTATAGAAAATTGATCTTTCATAAAGTCTTCTATAAAAAATTTATTTTCGATAAAGTTTTCTATAGAAAACTTATGTTCGATAAAGTTAATTTTTTTATTAATTTATTTTCGATAAAGTTTCTATAGACAACTTATGTTCGATAAAGTTAATTTTTCTAAAAACTAATGTTTGATAATGTTTTCTTTAGAAAACTGATTTTCGATTAAGTTTTATGTGAAGCAATAATGTTGATTAAGTTTTCAATAGAAAACTGATCTTCAATAATGTTTTCTATAGAGAACTGGTCTTTCATAAGAACTGGTTTTTGTTAAAGTTTTCTATAAAAAAAACTGATGTTTGAAAAAATTTTTATAGAAAACTGACGTTTGATAAAGATTATTATAAAAAACTGATCTTCGATAAACAGGTCTTCGAATTTTCTATAGAAAACTGAAAACTAATCGAATTTTTTCTGCAGAAAACTGGTCTACGATTAAGTTTTCTATGGAAAACTAGTTTTCGGAAATATCTCGAATACAATGTACGTTTTCCAGACATATTGTAAATAAAATAAAACTTCTTTAAACGATCTATCTGTTTTGATATACATATTGCCTCTAAATATGTATAACATAACATCCGAAAAACATATATTTCAAAATTTTAGGAAAATAATTAATTTTTTTCAGAAATTGTACCAAATCTCTATTATTTATGAACGAATTTTGCAGATTTTAAAAAGGAAATTACTCTTAAACATGTCCTATAGAATTATTAAAGTTTTGGATACCGCACATATCTGGGGTCTTCAGGCAATTGATGTCAACATTATTAATAAAATTGTAGAAATTATAAACGTAATGAAATTATGTACTTAGTTTTAGATAGAAAAGGAATAACTAAAATAGATAAAACTAAATGAAAGATCGTTTCAGTTCTAGAAGGACTTTTAAGATGCTTACCACCCTATTTTTATATACATATGTATGTATGTATATATTTTTTAATTGTTTACTAATTTAATGTTGCTTTAATATGATGCTTTAAGAAATTTTTACGATTTTGAAAATGTTTATCAACAATTCGCCTTTGTTTTATTTTGATAAAATACATACTTATTTTTGGCAGACTTCAGAATATACATATAACATTTTAAAACACACTACGATTTTGTAAAAAATATAATATATTTATAAAATAGTATAAACAAATCTAAAATGTCTGCAAAATTTCAGATTTGACTCAATTTTTATGCCATCTCGCAGTTTTCAAAATTATTCTTAATTCCCTTATACATCCTTAATAAATAATTTTTAAAATATTTCTTTAACTTTTTGTGAATATTTTGCTTTAAAATTAAAAAAAAGTTTTGAAAAACATACACTGAAAATAATCCATGCCTAATATACACCAAAAATGTTGTACATTGTACGAAATGATTCGTGGTTTCGCACCACGAAATTCTTTCGTAACATATACGATATTGTACGAAATATTTTAGTAAAATGCAAAATAATTTTATATAATTTTAGAAAAAAAATTTTCATTTTACGATTTTTTAAAGACATAAATATGTGAGTTCTTTTAAAATAATTATTGTAAATTTAGAAAAAGATTGCGAATTTAAAAAAAAAAAAAAAACAAATTTTTATGTTTTTTAAAAAAACATAAAACATAAAGACATAAATATGTGAGTTCTTTTAAAATAATTATTGTAAATTTAGAAAAAGATTGCGAATTTAAAAAAAAAACAAATTTTTATGTTTTTTAAAAAAACATAAAAAAACCTAAATTTAAAATTACGTTTAATTTAACTCGCTTAAAATTACGAAAAAAAAATCGTAACAAAACAGTTTTTTTTTTTTTGTGAAATCAAAAATAATTCTTGTATATTACTAGTTAATTTTGTTACGATAAAAATTCGTTACTTTCGTTAAATATTACATGTCTTAACGAAATTATTTTTGCAAAAGAAAACAAAGTTTCTTAATATATACAAAAAAAGATATTACGACAGGTTTTCGTACTTTCGTAAAATTAGAAAAGGGATTGGTTAAACAATATTTTGTATTATACACGAAATTTTCGTATATATTACGAAAAAAGTAGTTACGAAATTTTGTTTCGTAAATTTAATCATGGATTATTTTCAGTGTATTAAAATTATTCGTTCTACTTTGTTAACAGGTTAGAAATGAGTTGTTTTGTAAAAAAAATATAAAGATTGTTTTATATTGCTATGCTTTTAAAATTTATTGAAAATCCCACTTTTGATAAAAATGTTCTTGTCATTGGCGCCACCTGTTTATAGCAATTTGGTTTCTTTTAGAGTTTTATTAAATGAAAGATGGGTCGCAAAAGTTTTGTACGAATATTGAAGGCTCGTTATTACACAAAAAGCGTTGTTTACTTTTAAAATTTATTTTGATTAATATAAACAATGTAAATTTTTGAATTTGTTCATTGTTGAGCAAACAAATAGTAAACAAAAAAACTTGAATGCTGAAAATAGAAAATAAACAAACATTTTAATATGAAATTTATAATTAAATGCAGATATAAATTGTACAAAAGCAAAATATATTTTTTTGTATATCGTTCATATTCAAGCAAATTATTAATCGCTTGTTGTATCGATAAGTTGTATAAAATTAAAAACAATTTACTTAATAACAAACTATTTTGTGGTATTATTACAAAATTATATTTAAATTTCAATTTACATTGAAAATACTAAAAAATTTAATTTTGTTTATAACTGTTAGACAAGTTTCCCTTAAACATATATAAAAGTGGCTTTTTATATAAACTTACTTTAGCAAAATTGATACTGTAACTCTGCTATATTCTCAACACAAGTTTTTCTGGCAACTCCTTAATTCATAAACAGCTGTTTAAAATTATTTTTTTTTTTTGTACCGGACAGCAGAGACTTGCGCCGATTCGGCTTAAGCCGACTAAGCCTAGCCGCCGAACGAAATGTCAAAGCCGCCGCCGCCGAAAATTTTTCAGCTTAATACGGCTTGAAAATTTCGCCATATTTTGTACAATTTACAGAATACTTCGCTAAATTTGTGGAATTTTACAATATAAAATTAATTTGTTTTCATTTAAGCAAGTTTTCTTTTATTTAATAACAAGCCGCTCTTTGAAATTTGGCCGGTGTAGAACTTTGCTCAACGTTCGATGCATATGCTTCGCCTCAGATATTTGTGTTTTCGCGCCTAATTCGAGTCGCTGCTTTGACTTCAAACCAGCATCGTTGACGTCAACGGAGCTACACCTTTTTACATTGCTGGTATGTCATACCGTAAAGGGCTAGGGTATCGAACATGTGTATTTCAAATGGGAAGTGCAGTTGATGTCAATTCTGCCGACTGCGAAAAGAAATTCTGCTAGAATTTTTCGCGCCAAACTGTTTTCTGCATTTTTTATTTGCCAAAAAAAATCTGTTGTTGTGTGTGTGCGAAAATCTAAAATGACAGAAATAATAATAAAATAAAAAAATAATTTTTTACTAAAAATTAATAAGATTGTATGCTATACTACTATACCGAGGGTCATTGTACAAAGAAACAGCAAGTGTTGGGTTGAATTTAGTTAAATTGTTAATAATTATATGGGTTTGTTTTCGTTTAATACCCAAAATGTTTATCGAAATCTATATTTGGCATATTTGTGTGATCTAGAAGATTAAAAAATGTATGTAATGGTGTTAATTAATTATTTATTTGTCTATAAAGAACGTCTTTCTTTTCAAGAAAGAGGAGGCATCATGATGGTCTCCTGGAAGAATGCCCACAAGAGAGTGGCAATTGTATACCTCCCTAGTAGCCTAGGTGGGTGGTGGTCGGTCGGCTAGTGGTGGCATGGTATATTATCACCTAGAGGCAATGGAGGGAAGCTGATTGCCGTATTCAGGGGGTCTCCTTGGGATACATACTTATTATTATACCATTGATCTCAGCAGAATCACTACCATACACCCATAATAGAGCGCGATGTCTGTCAGGTGTGCCTTTCAGTGAAGCTCTTGTTGTCTCCAAACACTATGGTGGCCGAATATTTACAAGAAACAATTGTTAAGCCGTCTTTTATACAAATTTATAACTTTTGTAGAGAATGTCTTCACGGACTAGAGGATAGAACCTGGCTAGGTATGTAGATGTTGTTTGGGCAAAATATTGGTACTAACCATTGTGGGCTTTAAGTCGACTTTAGATCCCTTATAGTT